TAAAACACGAATAACACAAATTCGATGGAGATGGATTCTTCTCGGCTCTATCATCTCTCATCCCAAAAGTAGCCAACTTTGTCTCAAACAACAAATCCCTCATTTCCTCAGAGGCGCAAGCTCTTGGATCTGTAGCAAAAGCAGGAGTAAATATAAGCGAAACAGTGAAAAGATCTAACGAGTTAAAAGAATTACAACATATAAGAGAAATTCGAAATAAAAGATTAGAAAAGAAAAAAGGCAATGGTTTTAAAATTATTGGATAAAAATGTCAATGATAATTGCTCAAACTCCTAAAACTTATTTCGGCTCCGACATTCAAAAATCATTAGGTTCTCTTCCTGGATTTCCACATCTTCCCGGTCATAATTACACTGGTCCAGGTACAAGGTTAGATCTGCGATTAGACCAAAATGATAGACCAAAACCAGGTGAAGAACCTGTCAATAGAGTTGATGCCGCTGCACTTAAACACGATATACTATACAGAAATAAAGACATAACATCCAGACACGAAGCAGACACACAAATGATAATCGAACTTGAAAATATTCCAAATCCAACTTTCAAAGAGAGAATTCAAAGAGCATTAATCATTAAACTCTTGAAAGCAAAAATAAAAATGGGTATGGGAATAGCAGATGAAATTCATAAAGAATTTAGAAACTTAACTGATTAATGGGAGGTAACACTGTTGTTTGTTTACTTCAAAGTAAAATACCAACCAGTTTAATCAAGATCCAATCATACAAGAAATAGACGAATTGGAAGAGGAGATAGCTAGAGAAAACAGTGGACAAAGTATAACTTTTTTTATCCGATAATAATGAAGAATTGCATAATACATTAGAAATAATATTAGCAGCAATGAAGGTCATCGTTCAGACAGACAATAAAATGAAGTAAATTGCATATTAAAAAGATTCCTTGAGAAAGGTATTATAGATAAAAATGATTATAAAAACGTACTTGATAAAATTATCCAATAAAAATAGTCATTGAAAAAATGCCAAATAAAGAACAATTATTCGTCATCACCTCAAATAAATCAGACATTAAATTGTCTCTAGATTATGAGTATGAACTCGATCGCAATGAAGAATATGAATTGGGATTGAAATATTTCTCTGTTTACAATTCCATTAGAAATATCAACGAAAATAATAACCAAATGAAAATATCAACAGATAACGGAGCTATATTCAAAACCATAAGTTTACTACCAGGGAGCTATGATTACGTAGCCATAAACGAATATCTATCTGAATATGGGGGAAGTGCAAATGGTAAAAACAATATTCACTGTAATTTAATAAACACAAACGTCAGACTATTTACAGTATTCCAACATTCACTGTACCGATTGGATATAGAATTATAGAGAAACCATTTTAAACAACATATTTACCACTTAATTCGTTCATGATTAAAAATATAAATCTGGAAATCAAAGATGGTAAAAATAGGTTTATTGATTTTGGTAACGAAGAAATTGTTATTCAACTTCATTTAAAACAAAAGTTATTGAGTAATTAATCACTCTTCATTCTCTTCTTGAAAATATATGTAATCGAAATCATCAAATTCATAGTTTTCATCAAAACTATACTCATCTTTATCACTACAAGGAAACATAATTCCTTCACTGTTTGGTGGTTTTCTCTTTACAAGATTCAAATAACTTCTAAAAACTTTCTTTTGTTTATCATCATCCTTTGGAATAACTACTCCATTCATGAAACTCCTTTCCCATCTTTTATTAAATTCATTCGACACATCATGTTCACTAGCCAACTGAATACAATCTTCTACACTTGTCTTATTATTAGAATAACCCTTAAACGTTTTCTTTTCTTTTAAAACACCATCAGAAGTTAGAATGATATTATATTTGACTTTTGGCGCTAAATATAAACCAAATATGATTCCACCATCACCATAATCATTCTTGCCTTTACAATATTCATTGTCAGATACCAGCTCGATTTAATTTATCCCAATTTCTAGATGAAATGTATAAACTATCAGTATCGGTATAGTATATTTCAGGTTTATAAAATCCATTTATTACATGAATGAAATAATTTATTATCTTTTTCGGAGACCAAACCAGCTCTGTTTAGTTTTTTTCCAATTTTTGGATGAAATGTACAAACTATCGGTGTCGGTATAGTAAATTTCGGGTTTATAAAATCCATTTATGACGTGAATGAAATTGTTCATTATTTTTTTACTGTGAGATAAAACGAATGATCCCAAATGACTAGGTGTTAGTCCTGTAGATTTTTCATAGTTTTTTACATGTGAGTCGAAGTTAGCCTGAAAAGTTACTTCATTCCACAAATGATTTCTCGTGTTTCTATCCTTCTGAATAGATTTACCATACAAGGAATTGCCTAATAATTTCATGCAATTACTACCCACAATATTACCTTCTCGTTTATATCTATTTCTAAGATCTCTTAAAATTAAAATATAATCTTTATATGGTGGAGTTTTAAAATTTTCTTAGTATGCTATACCATCTAATATTCTAATAATTCGTCCACCGGCTTTAACTATTTCTTGAATATCGACCGATGTTAAAACATCTGAACAGAAACCATTTCTAAACCTGATTTTACTGCCAGTTTCCTTTTTTCCTTCTTTATTCATGAAAGTGGTATTATCTTTAGCTGGTATCGGTTGGAAGAACATGTTTTTGGGATAGTCAAACCACACTGTTAAAATAGCTGTTCTAGCACTTTCTGCTTTTGGATATTCACTGTATAAATCCGACATTGCTAAAGCGTACAAACCATTAGCATCAAATGCCATTAGTTTAGTACATTTTATTTTTTTAAGTCTCGAATGAACCTCCATATTATCTTTTTTACTTTTATTATATTCTTTAAGTTTTGAATTAACTTCTGTTTTGTCTTTTGTGCTCGCGCTGTATTCTTTGAATAGATTAATTATGTTATCTCTTCTTGAATTATCACTTCGTGTTTCACTTTGTGAATTGTCACTTTGTGAAATACTTTCAGTATCACTTTGTGAAATACTTTCAGTTTCACTTTGTGAAATAAATTCCTTTAATACATTATAAACTTCATCCAATTTGTTCGTTTCAAATATTTTTCTATTTGCCGAAACTCTTCCTCCTTTAATAGATCGTCTGATATAATGTCTTATAAAAGGATAAGTGTGCGAACTTTTTCTATATTTTCTTTTTCAGTATGTTTCGGAACCATTCTAGTAGTTTCATACCATTCTTCTTCAACCATTTCTGTATCGTAATGATACAAATAATACCAACCCTTAAAAGATAAAGATGGAGCCGTTAGATTATTGGACATATTTTGGTTTACAACTTCTTTCGTGACTTGGTTATATTTTATCAAACAACTTCCAAGACATAACATATCTCTTTTTGCATATGGTTCCCATTCGTGTCTTAAAGATTCCCAGTTATCTTTGGTGTATTTTGCAACATTGATATCGGTGATCTTTTTTTAATTCATTGGTAGATTAGATGAATTACCCCATGCCGCTAAACTAGATGTTTCATGTTGATAGGAATATGTGAAATTAATATGTTGTAAATAATTATTATTACTTGTTATTTCTTTCTGTCTTTTCCATTTTTTCTGTAAATCTTCATCTGTGTATGGATTACATAAAGGGCATTGTGTTAGTTTTTTTTTAAATTTTTGAGCACGATCCAGTTATCAAAATTGCTACCGTTATGAGAAATTAATATTAATCTCTTACTATCATATTGACCTAAATATTTCAACATTTGATCTATACAATCTGTACCTACAAATATTTCAACTATATTCATTAGTTTATCATAAAATTCTTCTGAAACATTATCTGTAGGATTTAAATCTGGAAAGAGATTATTTATTCTGTCTAACATTTTTCTTAGTTTTTCTAAATTAATTAACGTACACGCATAAGGAATTGCTCTACGTGTTTCACTTTCTGAATACGTTTCACAATCCCAAGCAAATAACCCAGCATCATTTATACTTGAAAACACGTTTAGTTTCAGAGGTGAAACCTCTGTTACTGCGTTATCGTCGCTACACGTTTTCCATACTTGTTCATAATTATCTTCTATTTCTTTAATACCCAAACTTTTTCTATTTCTTCTTATAAGACAGAAATGTGACTTGTGTAAATATAAAACCCAATCTAATTCCTCTTTTACAATTGTGGGGCGCAAAGTTCTATTATTATGAGTATAAATTTGAAATGTAATATCACATTTCTTATTGAATTCATTAATTCCTTTTTTATGTGCTTTTGAGAAACCATTGATGAAATTTTGAAATTCATTTGTTAAATCTTTGTTTAAAACATAATTTACACATTTGATAAACCGTTACAATCTGTTGGTATTTAACAATTTTCATCTATATATTCATTTATTTTTTTGAGTAGTTCAGTTCCTCTTCCAACTTTTGATCTTTAATTTCTTTAAAATTGTCTTTAAGTAAAAAAATACTTCCTGTAAAGTACCAATCAGAAGGGTCAGATTTTTCTTCCATATTTCTAAAGATAGTATGAAAAGTTTTGGCATTAAAACCAAAAAGTTTCATAAATTGTTTGTGCTTTCCATCTTGAAATATCTCTCCATCTATTTCAATTTGTCCTTTAAATGGTAAAAATTTATCAGAAATATTCTTGATAATATTTGAAAATAACACGTGTTCTATGAATGTTTCATCATCATTAAATTCAATTGATTCATTCATATTTTTTATAAATGCTTTTTTAATGATCTATTTTTAAGTATTTTTTTTAACTTTTATTGCTGATATTTCCATCTCAAATTTTTCTAGAATTTCATTGAATTCTTCTAATTCTTCAATAGTTATGTTCTTATCTTCTCTTGATCTTTCGAAAAATATAAATAATTTATTAACATATGAATTCAAAATTTCTATTTTCTTTTTATAATGAGATTTTTGTTTAATGTATAACCTATAGCATCATTTAAGATGAAGTTTTAATAGCAGTAATTGTTGCTAATACAGTTGGGACAAGTACTGGAACCATTAATCCACCAGTTACAGCCGTTGCAACTGTTGTTCCTACTGTTAAAAGTACACTCAGTGTTTTGAAAACAGATTCAACTCTAATCCATCTTTTCTTACATTTATTATATTTTTCTAGTTTTACTTTTAACTCGTTTTGTTTGTCTATCATATATTGTTATATATACTTTCGAGTTCCATTTTTAAGACATTAAATTAAGTGAATTTCTGATAAAGAAAAAGATGGATATTGTTCAATATTTACAATAGGGAACCCTTTAATCTCTATACCTCCTCCTATTATTTTTCGTTTATCTGTTATCATTACTTCGGGTGTATAAATAGTAACTTTTACAGATACTAATGATATTTCTTCTTTCGAATACTGTCCGTGCCAGGCCAGATCAGACAATTTATTTTGACTTCAGTATATTTTATTTCATCTTATATATATATTAAAAAAAATTTTTGTATATATTGTATATGTAAGGATTTTGACATTTGTTTCTCGTGCTAGAACAAACTTTCTTCAACAAAATTTGCATTAATCTTTTAATCTAACCAAGTAAATTTAATTGCCATTATTTATGTTTTTCTTTCATGTAAATTATACGCCGAGATAATCCATCCATTTAAATTACTACTCGGGTATAATCAAAATTCAAAGTTAGTTCTAATCAATTTACAATTCACCAATCCCGCTTATTTTATCAAATATTTCTCATGTTTGTTTATTTTATATTTTTGTATTCTTGATTTCTGATTATTTATGTTTTTTCATTTATGTAAATTGTACTCTGAGATAATCTAATCCTCCTGAATTATTACTCAGATATATTCAAAATCTAATCCAATATTTCTATAATCCCCAATTGATCAAAGATATGACTCAACTAATTAAGAAATCAAAAATAATCCTAATCCTCAACTGATCAAAGATATGACATGATTCACTCAATAATTTTTAGAAAATCAAAAACCTGTATTAACTGACTACTATATGAATCGCAAATTCAATCTCATTTCATAACCATTCCTCGACACTTGAAAAAGGATAATATTTCGAAAACCGGTTCGTGTCAATTGCGTAAGTTTTTGTTGTACTTGTTATAATTTTTCACATCATTGTTAGCGTTATTTATCACCTAAATATATATTTTTTTGCATTTTTCATCTTGCTTTATATATCCCCAAACCCAGTTTGACTTATTTGCATAATTTGATCCCAACATTTTCACGCTAGCATATACAGTTTCCTCCTGTTACATCCGCTGTACATTCCCTTCTAAACCCAAGTTATTTTCATTATGCTCCCCAANTACAACAACCACTGGCAAGAAGC